CGTGTTGAACGTGACCATCTCTGGTAGATGTGACACCATACTCAATCGTGTTGAACGTGACCTCTCTGGTAGACGTGACACCATACTCAATCGTGTTGAACGTGACCTCTCTGGTAGACGTGACACCATACTCAATCGTGTTGAACGTGACCTCTCTGGTAGACGTGACACCATACTCAATCGTGTTGAACGTGACCTCTCTGGTAGACGTGACACCATACTCAATCGTGTTGAACGTGACCTCTCTGGTAGACGTGACACCATACTCAGTCGTGTTGAACGTGACCTCTCTGGTAGACGTGACACCATACTCAATCGTGTTGAACGTGACCTCTCTGGTAGACGTGACACCATACTCAGTCGTGTTGAACGTGACCTCTCTGGTAGACGTGACACCATACTCAATCGTGTTGAACGTGACCTCTCTGGTAGATGTGACACCATACTCAATCGTGTTGAACGTGACCTCTCTGGTAGATGTGACACCATACTCAATCGTGTTGAACGTGACCTCTCTGGTAGATGTGACACCATACTCAATCGTGTTGAACGTGACCTCTCTGGTAGATGTGACACCATACTCAGTCGTGTTGAACGTGACCTCTCGGGCTGTTCTTTATAATCTGAAAATATCATGTTATATATAACACGTGTGTGTCATACCTGATCCATAACCACGCGACCAGTCGTGTGTGTGTGTGCGTGCGTGCGTTTGTGTGCGTGTGTGTGCGCGCGCGTATGCGTCCTATATATGGAACCACAGTTCTCCGTGTCCCCGGCCATGTGTTGTTGAAGAACTAGGGTCCAAGACCTCGACCAGCTCTTCAGCTGCAATATGCCAGATGTTCACATTTGTGATCAGTTTCGGTAGACTGACATAGCATGCTATTCATATGGTGTGGAGATTACAAGTCGAGCATCTGTCTCATACTATTTATGTCAGAACTATTTTTTCGTGAGTTGTCTCATTGTTGTTATTATCACATCATACACAATGGCTCTGCGTGGCGATATCCTGCTTACGATTCACACATGCAGTGACTCTTTGTTACACGTGACAACATCAAACAGCATCAATGAAACGCTGCCACCTATCTCATAAAGGCGTATAGGGACATTTCTATTGTCGCAAACATAATCATGTGTACGCTTTGATCGTATCATGAGAATGTGTTTAAGAATCACCGTTAAAATAGCGATGATACCACGTTTTCGCGAAATGGTGGCCATATCCTGCCACACACGTGGCGCCTATCACACACACATGCAGAGGCAAGTAAACTGTCCTCCTGAAAAAGAGAAAATCAAAATAACAAATACATGGGAACTTACGGTTCAAGTCAAAATAGGTAACTTGATTAAATACGCAAATATGGCTTCTATAAAACTAGTCTTGAAGTCCTGAAGCTTTACTGTGACTTTCAAGATTGTAGCCCTGATCCAACAACTATTGAGCCAGAGCCGTATGAGGCTCTGTACATTCTGGTCACGTGTACCACAAACAACTGTACACACCAAGGTTTTCGAGCGACTGCATTACGACGCGAAACCTCGTTATTGGTAAACCTTAGGGCAAAACACATATGTTCAAACACCTCAATAAATAGTACAGTTAAAACGTAACTCAGTGGTTACAAAGCCTTGCTAACAATCTCTATTTAAATATGTTGACACATACCTAAGACGTGTAAACACACTTTACAATTGTTCATGATCATATCTTTACAGTGGGTGTGGCAGACTCAGATTCAAGACGCATGACTCATTATAACGTCACTGCTCAAGTATGAACGCTTTAGGGCGTTGTCGTTTGAAAACATTTAATAGCTATTCCATGCATAATTTGTTTCCGAACTGGGGAAACCCCTGTGTGTTATGACATTACTGTCATTCATTCAATGTAAACTCTGTCAAAAAAGAAACGCAACCCCTGTCCTCAGATATGAAAAATTCGTTTGAATGAAGTTATTGCTTCCAAACTAAATGTTATTCGAATGTATTGAAATTATACACGTAATTAATGAAGATTACCATCCAAACAACTGCATTTGTACGCATAAGTGTATTTTATTGCTTATTCCGTCACAACGCATGAAATGACCCTCATGGTGACTTCGCACAAAAAAACACATGCAAATCATGAAAATGGCAGTTAATGTAGGGGTGTATAAAAAGCCCATGTGCTTTCGCTGTGTGAAAAATGCCACGATTGAGTGCTGCCGACCGAAATATCGCCATTGGTCGTGTTCAAGCCGGAGAAAGTTTTGGAACTGTTGCACGGCACCTAAATGTTCACAAAACAACGATATCCCGACTTTGGAGCCGCTACAACAACTTCAATTTGACCAACGATCGCCCGAGAAGTGGAAGGCCAAGAATCACGACCCCCCTTCAAGATCGGTACATCCGGGTCCATCACCTGCGTAATCGGCATGCCCTACCAACCGTGACTGCCACACAAATACCAGGTTTGAGGAGAGTGTCAGCTCAAACGATTAGGAACCGTCTGAAAGAAGCGGGTTTACGTGCCTGTAGACCAGTTGTTGGACCTGTACTACGCCCCCTACATCTCCGCCGACGACTCAGGTGGTGCAACAACGTAAGGATATGGACTTTACAAAACTGGAGGCGCATCTGGTTTTCTGATGAATCCCGTTTTCTTTTGCAACATCACGACGGAAGAAAACGTGTGTATAGGAGACGTCATGAACGTTTTGCGCCCATCTGCGTCCGACAGGGGACAGATTTGGCGGAGAAAGCGTTATGGTTTGGGGATCCATCTCATACAACCAGAAATCAGACTTGGTGATCGTTGAAGGGAACCTGACAGCCCAACGTTACATCAACCACGTATTACAGCCACACCTTCTCCCGATTATTGACCAACAGACACAGATTTTTCAACCAGACAACGCCCGGCCTCATACTGCACGTGCAACAATGAACTTTCTGCAGAATTCCAACGTCAATGTCTTGCCATAGCCCTCTCTAAATCACCAGACCTCAACCCTATTGAACACCTGTGGATACTCTGGGTCGACGCGTACGTCAACGTCAGCCGCCGCCACAGACGCTGCAACAGCTCGGCGTTGCACTGCAGGAGGAGTGGAGAGCCATTCCCCAGGAAAGAATCCGGCGTCTTATCCGTTCTTGTCCAAGGAGATGCCGTGCAGTGATTGCAGCTCGTGGTGCTCATACGAGATACTGAGAAAGACGCCCCCCCCTGGTGACAAACTGGTGTCTGTGAGATGACTTTTGAAATGACAATTTTAAACATGCCCATCTTGGTTATTATTCTGCCAAATCTCAGACTTCTGTCTTAAATAATAAAAATGCTGTGTCGTCTTAAAACTTCAGATCAAAATCTCTAAAATACAGGGGTTGCGTTTCTTTTTTGACAGAGTTTAGATTTTCTTGCTGCCAGTGCTTGTTGTCATAATATTACTAAACCGTGTAAGCCTGAAATAGTGATGAGGTTCTTCAAGGTTAAACCTCTTCCTTTACTGTACATATGTACAAGATGGGTATAACAACTACCAATGACAACCCCCAACGAACAGTGTTACAATCGAACTTCAGGTCGCAGGACACCTGTTAAATTGTCTGATTGGACGTAATTGAAGTCATGCAGTACATTACACAGTAAATACAGTGCCCCAATTATAGAGAACGAGGCCAGTGAAGCATGCCCGTTATCCCGGTTATCCCGTGAGACTGAATGGGGTAAATCAACCAGCTGGAAGGGACAACAACTGATTCACCGTGACTGATCCAAGAACAATCACATTATATTTACCTTAGATTGTGTTGGTGGCAGTCGTCGATACCGTCAATGTTATGACTGAACTTGAATATTTAAGTATATACCTTCGCCTTACATTGAACTCATGGTGTTGCGATCTCGAGTCTTTTTACAGCCAGAGGAATTGTACTGAGCGGCTTCATGCCTACAAACAAACATTTATTTTTTAAAGCAAATTATGTACAATAGATGTGCCTCTGCAAGAGCAGGGCAACTTATCTACTTCACCTTTCCCGCCTGAGGGAACGTGTTTCAGCAGATAATGGAGACTAGCACCGACTGTTCTCTGGCGTTGACGTGTAACATACTTTTGATGAAACCTTTGAAATAATGACATATGGTAATAGCAATCTGAGAGAGTAATGACACACAGGGGTGGTTTGATGGTGTGTGAAGTTCGTAGTGACACGGGGCTTGAGGAGAAGGGCTACTTTGACGCAGTTACATCAGTAGAACTATAACCTGTCTTTGTTATGTCCTGGCGTTCTATTCCACGACAGCCCACACTTTCTATGTTCGAGTCGACAAGGCAGAGTCGTGTCCCCTGTTATATGTTATAAAATGATTCGATGAACGGTCTCTAATTTGAATCCCTGGACTGGATAATGAAACTTTATGTTCTCAACATAATGGATACCGAAGCAATCCTAATCAAGGGGAGGCTATATGAGTTTGGGCTTAAAAGTTGTATTAATGTCGGTTTGAAGTAGTATCCAACTGAGATGACATGCCGCAGGCTGCTATGGATACCCAACTCTAACAAGGTATACTGACCGAGCTGATATCGTCTTAATATATCATCAGTTGTTAACGTGGTTTGGTGTGCTTGGACCAGTGGCTCAAACCCCCCGACTATTGGCTCTCCGGGCAGACACCACAGCAAGTTTGTCTCGGTGTATCACAATATACAATCATGTTCTTGTCTTGCTTTCAGTGTCTCAACGTCTCTGGTCTGTTCACTGTCGTGGGTGCCAACATCAGCAAGGGCTTGAACGAGGAGCAGTTTAACAACGCTACCGTTGTCATCTTCTACTACATCTACAACATCACCAACTACTGCCGACAGAATGTCAACCCGACCATCAACACATTTGAGTATTATCGTGAGAAGGTTCAGAGCATTCTGTTCGAGGAAGGTCACGATGACATAGAGGCGGAGCCTATTGAGCATGCGCTGGAACATATCGCAGAGTCGATCAAGGGAGCAGCAGACCACAAAGGGGAGACGAACCACATGGAGGTCGACCACCACGGCCACAACCACGGCCATGAAGGGGACAACCACGGCCATGAAGGGGACAACCACGAAGAAAACGTTCAAATAATTGATGCCGTGGTAAAGTTCAACCTCCTTTAAATGAACACATATAAATACACATTAAAACCTCTATAAACCCGAAGATGTATTAATATAGAATGGTATTTAGCCTTTCTGTCCAATCATCTAAGGGATAAGTCCAGATAGTTCTGAGTCTGCTGTATATCGGTTCTGATGGAGTGGACATGATTTGTGATGGAGATAACACATTTATCCAGTACCCATATGCTCGTATATGCCTTCTCGATCTTTGCATTCAGGTATGGGCACTATCAGATGCTTCTAAGAATGTTTGTCAGTAGATCTCACTCATTGAATGACAACACATTTACAAAGGCAGGTTGTCGATACATCTAGTTCCAGGAATCTGTGTATACGCCTGTCTCCAGGAGTCTGTGTATACCCCTGTCTCCTGGTGTCTGTGTATACCCCTGTCTACAGGAATCTGTGTATACCCCTGTCTCCAGGAATCTGTGTATAGCCCTGTCTCCAGGAATCTGTGTATACTCATGTCTCCTGGAGTCTGTGTATACCCCTGTCTCCTGGAGTCTGTGTATACCCCTGTCTTCTGGAGTCTGTGTATACCCCTGTCTTCTGGAGTCTGTGTATACCCCTGTCTCCTGGTGTCTGTGTATACCCCTGTCTCCAGGAATCTGTGTATATCCCTGTCTCCAGGAATCTGTGTATAGCCCTGTCTCCAGGAATCTGTGTATACTCATGTCTCCTGGAGTCTGTGTATACCCCTGTCTCCTGGAGTCTATGTATACCCCTGTCTCCTGGTGTCTGTGTATACCCCTGTCTTCTGGAGTCTGTGTATACCCCTGTCTCCTGGTGTCTGTGTATACCCCTGTCTCCTGGAGTCTGTGTATACCCCTGTCTCCTGGAGTCTGTGTATACCCCTGTCTCCTGGACTCTGTGTATACCCCTGTCTCCTGGAGTCTGTGTATACCCCTGTCTCCTGGAGTCTGTGTATACCCCTGTCTCCTGGAGTCTGTGTATACCCCTGTCTCCTGGAATCTGTGTATACCCCTGTCTCCAGGAATCTGTGTATAGCCCTGTCTCCAGGAATCTGTGTATACCCATGTCTCCTGGAGTCTGTGTATACCCCTGTCTCCTGGTGTCTGTGTATACCCCTGTCTCCTGGAGTCTGTGTATACCCCTGTCTCCTGGAGTCTGTGTATACCCCTGTCTCCTGGAGTCTGTGTATACCCCTGTCTCCTGGAGTCTGTGTATACCCCTGTCTCCTGGAGTCTGTGTATACCCCTGTCTCCTGGTGTCTGTGTATACCCCTGTCTCCTGGTGTCTGTGTATACCCCTGTCTCCTGGTGTCTGTGTATACCCCTGTCTCCTGGAATCTGTGTATACCCCTGTCTCCTGGAGTCTGTGTATACCCCTGTCTCCTGGAGTCTGTGTATACCCCTGTCTCCTGGAGTCTGTGTATACCCCTGTCTCCTGGTGTCTGTATATACCCCTGTCTACAGGAATCTGTGTATACCCCTGTCTCCTGGTGTCTGTGTATACCCCTGTCTCCTGGAATCTGTGTATACCCCTGTCTCCTGGACTCTGTGTATACCCCTGTCTCCTGGAGTCTGTGTATACCCCTGTCTCCTGGAGTCTGTGTATACCCCTGTCTCCTGGTGTCTGTGTATACCCCTGTCTCCAGGTGTCTGTGTATACCCCTGTCTACAGGAATCTGTGTATACCCCTGTCTCCTGGTGTCTGTGTATACCCCTGTCCCCAGGAATATGTGTATACCCCTGTCTCCAGGACTCTGTGTATAACCCCTGTCTCCAGGACTCTGTGTATACACCTGTCTCCTGGAGTCTGTGTATACCCCTGTCTCCTGGTGTCTGTGTATACCCCTGTCCCCAGGAATATGTGTATACCCCTGTCTCCAGGACTCTGTGTATACCCTGTCTCCAGGACTCTGTGTATACCCCTGTCTCCTGGAGTCTGTGTATACCCCTGTCTCCTGGTGTCTGTGTATACCCCTGTCTCCTGGACTCTGTGTATACCCCTGTCTCCTGGAGTCTGTGTATACCCCTGTATCCAGGACTCTGTGTATACCCCTGTCTCCAGGACTCTGTGTATACCCCTGTCTCCAGGACTCTGTGTATACACCTGTCTCCTGGAGTCTGTGTATACCCCTGTCTCCTGGTGTCTGTGTATACCCCTGTCCCCAGGAATATGTGTATACCCCTGTCTCCAGGACTCTGTGTATACCCCTGTCTCCTGGACTCTGTGTATACCCCTGTCTCCTGGAGTCTGTGTATACCCCTGTCTCCTGGAGTCTGTGTATACCCCTGTCTCCTGGACTCTGTGTATACCCCTGTCTCCTGGAGTCTGTGTATACCCCTGTCTCCTGGTGTCTGTGTATACCCCTGTCTCCTGGAGTCTGTGTATACCCCTGTCTCCTGGAGTCTGTGTATACCCCTGTCTCCTGGTGTCTGTGTATACCCCTGTCTCCTGGAGTCTGTGTATACCCCTGTCTCCTGGACTCTGTGTATACCCCTGTCTCCTGGACTCTGTGTATACCCCCCGTCTCCTGGACCCCTGTCTCCCTGGTGTCTGTGCATACCCCTGTCTCCTGGAGTCTGTGTATACCCCTGTCTCTGTGTAGGACTCTGTGTATGTACCCCCTGTCTCCTGGAATATGTGTGGACTCTGTGTATACCCCTGTCTCCTGGAGTCTGTGTATACCCCTGTCTCCTGGTGTCTGTGTATACCCCTGTCTCCTGGAGTCTGTGTATACCCCTGTCTCCTGGAGTCTGTGTATACCCCTGTCTCCTGGACTCTGTGTATACCCCTGTCTCCAGGACTCTGTGTATACCCCTGTCTCCTGGACTCTGTGTATACCCCTGTCTCCTGGGTCTCTGTGTATACCCCTGTCTCCTGGTGTCTGTGTATACCCCTGTCTCCTGGAATCTGTGTATACCCCCTGTCTCCTGGACCCTCTGTGTATACCCCTGTCTCCTGGACTCTGTGTATACCCCTGTCTCCTGGAGTCTGTGTATACCCCCTGTCTCCTGGAGTCTGTGTATACCCCTGTCTCCTGGTGTCTGTGTGTATACCCCTGTCTCCTGGGTCTGTGTATACCCCTGTCTCCTGGAGTCTGTGTATACCCTGTCTCCTGGTGTCTGTGTATACCCCTGTCTCCTGGAGTCTGTGTATACCCCTGTCTCCTGGAGTCTGTGTATACCCCTGTCTCCTGGGTCTGTGTATACCCCTGTCTCCTGGACTCTGTGTATACCCCCTGTCTCCTGGACTCTGTGTATACCCCTGTCTCCTGGGTCTGTGTATACCCCTGTCTCCTGGAGTCTGTGTATACCCCTGTCTCCTGGATCTGTGTATATACCCCTGTCTCCTGGACTCTGTGTATACCCCTGTCTCCTGGAGTCTGTGTATACCCCTGTCTCCTGGGTCTGTGTATACCCCTGTCTCCTGGAATCTGTGTATACCCCTGTCTCCTCTGGAGTCCTGTGTATACCCCTGTCTCCTGGAGTCTGTGTATACCCCTGTCTCCTGGAGTCTGTGTATACCCCTGTCTCCTGGAGTCTGTGTATACCCCTGTCTCCTGGACTCTGTGTATACCCCTGTCTCCTGGAGTCTGTGTATACCCCTGTCTCCTGGGTCTGTGTATACCCCTGTCTCCTGGACTGTCTCCTGTGTATACCCCTGTCTCCTGGTGTCTGTGTATACCCCTGTCTCCTGTCTCTGTGTATACCCTGTCTCTGGGTGTCTGTGTGTATACCCTGTCTCCTGGACTCTGTGTATACCCCTGTCTCCTGGACTCTGTGTATACCCCTGTCTCCTGACTCTGTGTATACCCCTGTCTCCTGGAGTCTGTGTATACCCCTGTCTCCTGGAGTCTGTGTATACCCCCTGTCTCCTGGAGTCTGTGTATACCCCCTGTCTCCTGGGAGTCTGTGTATACCCCTGTGTCTCCTGGACTCTGTGTATACCCCCTGTCTCCTGGAGTCTGTGTATACCCCTGTCTCCTGGAGTCTGTGTATACCCCTGTCTCCTGGAGTCTGTGTATACCCCTGTCTCCTGGAGTCTGTGTATACCCCTGTCTCCTGGAGTCTGTGTATACCCCTGTCTCCTGGAGTCTGTGTATACCCCTGTCTCCTGGACTCTGTGTATACCCCTGTCTCCTGGACTCTGTGTATACCCCTGTCTCCTGGACTCTGTGTATACCCCTGTCTCCTGGAGTCTGTGTATACCCCTGTCTCCTGGAGTCTGTGTATACCCCTGTCTCCTGGAGTCTGTGTATACCCCTGTCTCCTGGACTCTGTGTATACCCCTGTCTCCTGGAGTCTGTGTATACCCCTGTCTCCTGGAGTCTGTGTATACCCCTGTCTCCTGGAATCTGTGTATACCCCTGTCTCCCTGGAGTCTGTGTATACCCCTGTCTCCTGGAGTCTGTGTATACCCCTGTCTCCTGGAGTCTGTGTATACCCCTGTCTCCTGGAGTCTGTGTGTATACCCCTGTCTCCTGGACTCTGTGTATACCCCTGTCTCCTGGAGTCTGTGTATACCCCCTGTCTCCTGGAGTCTGTGTATACCCCTGTCTCCTGGAGTCTGTGTATACCCCTGTCTCCTGGACTCTGTGTATACCCCTGTCTCCTGGGTTCTGTCTCCTGGACCCTGGAGTCTGTGTATACCCCTGTCTCCTGGTGTCTGTGTATACCCCTGTCTCCTGGAGTCTGTGTATACCCCTGTCTCCTGGAGTCTGTGTATACCCCTGTCTCCTGGGAGTCTGTGTATACCCTGTCTCCTGTGTCTGTGTATACCCCCTGTCTCCTGGATGTCTGTGTATACCCCTGTCTCCTGGAGTCTGTGTATACCCCTGTCTCCTGGGAGTCTGTGTATACCCCTGTCTCCTGGAGTCTGTGTATACCCCTGTCTCCTGGAGTCTGTGTATACCCCTGTCTCCTGGAGTCTGTGTATACCCCTGTCTCCTGGACTCTGTGTATACCCCTGTCTCCTGGAGTCTGTGTATACCCCCTGTCTCCTGG